CTCTTTCCTGCTTTGACAATATGGATAATTCAGACCAACAGGCTGCTGTATTCTCTTTTGCTTGGGAAAGGCAAAGTGAAATGTGGTTTGAAGCTCCTGATTCATTGGGTCTGCATGTTTGTAGACAGACCAGAGAAGATATAAATGCGCCCTGCCTAATCTTCATCTTGCAGTGAGACTGCTTCTTGCATTGGAGGCCCGTTTACTTGATTCAGTTTGATCACAGCTTCCAAGGAGCAGAGTGGGGGAGACAGGTTGTCAGCCAAGAGCTGTTGAAGATGCACAGATGGCATTGATTCCCTCACCTAAGCACATTTTCTTCCCTTCAGAGTATTTTACATAAATGAAACTAACTCTCTTATCTTTTACGGATAGAACTACTTTAAATTCTTCTTATTTTTTGTTACTTAGTACCACTCTACTCTTCCAAGAAACTTTTAACACAGTAATAGTATTCATTTCAATAACACTGTTACATTAAGTAAATCGACTGCAATGCATGATTCTGCCATATTTGAAGTTGTAAGTTGCAGGATTTTTAAGATGCAGAGAGTTTGGTGGGTTTTGAAGAACCTCAGAACGTATTAGCTGCTTTGAAAGGATAGTAAACTGAGAGGACAGTGCTGTTGGTGAAAGCACAGACTCTTTGTCTTTTTTGATGAACATATTACTTTCATGTAAGGCTTACTGAATTCTGCTCTGCCTCTCATTCAGTTCTTTTTTGTTGTTTCTGGAAGCATCTCAAAGGAAAGTGTTGTTCAATCTACTGTCTTCCGACATAACTACGGTAGGTCATCTTTGGATGTTAAATTTGATCTGTCAGTCAGCATTTATAACATTTTTGCATGGATTTGTATTTATAACATTTTTGCAGGATTTCAGCTCCCCTCTTGGTTCTGAGAAGTTGTGATTAGATCAGCAGTTTGGTTTTGATACAGTCTTCACAGTTAAAAAAAATCCTGTTTGCTGTCTCTGGCTGCTTCCTTCTATAAGATCTGTACTTAGACAGCTATTAAGAGCACAGTAAGAGCTGTGTAACCAATGCTCAGCCAAGGACAGGTATTTGAATTAGGGGAAAAAAGGTTCATTTGGTCTGGGTTCAGTTTGGTTTTTTTTTTTTCAGTTAATTTCCCCATAACCTAGAAGAGCATTAAGATCTGAATTTCACTTTGCCACGTGATATTTCTTTTATTTATGCTCACTGGAAAAGAAAAATTGAGTGACATTGATATACAGAATTGTTTGTTATCAATTTAGCTGTTGGAAGGAAGGCACTCATACTGTCTTTTTCTTATGAATAATCTTCAGATACTGTTCAACTCTTGGGAAACAGGACAACTTATGCTGCGACAAAGTATAATATAATAAAGCTAAAAAAGAGAAGCAAGCATGTACAAATGTTGTTTAGAGCATGAGCTGGAAGGTAAGCCTAGGGTATGCTGGAGTTTAAATCACTCAAAACACCATGATAGCATTTTCCTGTTTGCACAGAAAACTGTAGATGGTGTATTCAAGTGGGCTGGGAGAACACAGAGAATCTGAGGATTTTCCATAGGAATAGAAATGCCATTTGCTAATGAGGGTGCCCTCCCATCAGGTTTCCTTCCAGCATAGTGGCTAATAAAATACCTCAGTAGGAAAACAGGATGATGTAGTATGCCAGAAATACTATGAAGTTATGAGTGCATTCCAGCTATTTTGGCTACAAGTGGAAATAATTTGTGGGTAAATAGCCTACAACCCAGATAAACTCTGCCACAGATGCAGAGGTGCCGTAGTTGGCTGTTTGCAGGGCCATCTTGGTTCCAGCATGTCCTGTTAGCTGTGGCAGAGCACTGCATGAATGCAGCTGTACCACTTCTGAAGCCAGGCTGTCTAGAAACAGTTCAGCTGTATTTCACAGTGTCCAGGCGGATAGGCTGTGCCAGTCCTGTCTGGTGTCAGTGTGCAAACAGGGAGGTTTGTGGAACATGATGCCGAGGCTTCTTAGGTGGCACCTCAGAGGGACAGACAAGGACGTTCAGGGTTTCGGCAGGATTATGAACCCAGCTGGTTCCATATGGAAATGGATGTTTCGGCACTCTGGCCCCTTGTGTTCTGGGCAGACTTCTTATGAGTAGGGCCACCTCAGGTTTAATGCTGAAAATGAGGTAGCATCTGTCTGTCTCAAAACACTGGGAAGCACTTGCAAAATTACTGGAGCTGTGTGTGTGGGCTTCAGGAAACCTCAGGTCCAGCACTGTGCAGCAGTAACTGTGGATTTGCGTACAGTCAGCTGTAATGTAGCACTGCTTTCCCTAGCATGCTCTAGAGCACCTATGTTTGCTTTTCCTCCCCCGCTCCCCCGTCTTATATAGAGTATCCCTACCTTTTGTTAGCTAAGATAAAGGCTGTCCATCACAGAGATCACAAGTGTATCATCAAAGATAATGGAAACTTTCCGATACAAATGCTTTCCGATGGGGTGGTGAATGCTTTTTTTTTTTTAATTGGTGTCGGCATAATATTATTTCCTGAAACTTTTTTTAGTCTTAATACACTGGAAAGAAAAAAGGAAAAAAAAAAAAAAAGTCCCCTTACATCAACTCCTTGTGGCAAATTAAGCTTATTGTTATATATAAAACTGTATGATAACATAGGTTAATTTTAAGTTTGACTGCAGTTTTCGGGGAAGGTATTGGTGGGCTCTAGTTAGTGTCATGTGCTGCTTCCATTGTAGTCAGCTTTGGCAGAGCAACTCTCTTGTTCCTTCTGTTTGGGACGTTTACGTCTTGTTCTCAGAAAACGTAACAGAGTTCAAAACCTAAAGTAGTCAAAGGTTATGTGTTCATTCCTTGGTCTCTCTGCAGCCTCAGGGCCAGCATTTCAAGACTGCAGCAATTCTTTGTTACATGGTTATGAAATGTTCCTTCTAATTCCTTGACACTTCCCTGGGCTGTTTCCAGTCCTCTTTTATTCACATCTCTCACTTTTTTGTGGCTAGACTTAGGACTTCAGGATTTCTTTTGAAAATCTCACTGCTTTCAGCTATCCCAGATGCTTTAAATAATGTCCTTTGTTACAGTTGAACCAATATCTTAATCCTCTTTGTTTCCTGGACTTGGAATAGACAGTAACAATACATGAAGTGAGAGCTTATAAAAATAAATAAATAAATTATGGCCCTGTTAAATGACTGCAGGGACAATTTACGTTGTACATGTAGCAATATCTGAAGAATGAAAACTGTTAATATTAAAAGTTTCAGCTGTGAATGAAAACAAACAATATGACCAAAAGCTGAGTATATTGTAGATAACAGAGAGAAAACATGCTATATTTTTTGGTTGGTTGGTTGGTTTTGAGGGGGGCGTTGTGTAGCTACAGTGGTCATGGTGCAATGTTACGCTGCTGTCCGTTTACACCATTTACACGACAGCGTGGCATCATATGGTATGGAATATCTCTGGTTAGTCTGGGTCAGCTGTCCTGCCTGTGCCCTCTCCCAGTTTCTTGTGCACCTCCAGCCTTCTCACTGGCAGGCCAGTATGAGGAGCTGAAAAGTCCTTGACTGCTTAGCAACAACTAAAACATTAGTATGTTATCAATATTATTCTCATCCGAAACCAGGACGTTGCGTTTTTTTAGGGACACTGGTTTCCAGGAGAGTCAGGTGTACATGTACAGTGTGTAAGGTCAGTGCCTTAAACCTGTTACCCGTGTTGGTCGTTTACACTTTGTTCCACTTAATGTCCATGTTATTCCATCTGTTCTTTGCTTCCTGTCAAACCAAGTGTGCTGCTGAATAACTGAGTCATGGATGTGTATACAAGCTAAATTCTGTGTTCTTATCTCACCTGCACACACCCACAGTTGACTTAAGGAGGACCAGTATTAAAACAGTGAAGTCAAGCATAAAGGTGTTTGAAAACTGGAGTTAATGTTGCCTGTGCCTTATGGCTCTAGAAACTACAGCAAAGCCATGACTGATGCTGTCCATTCTGTATATTGTCTGACTCAATGGTGCTGTAACACAAACAACAATCTGGAACAGTCTTCCTCTTTGTTTGTTGTTTGGCTGTTGGCCTTTACATTTAAACTCTGCGCTGAAGATGGTTATGAATTTTCTCATGGTCTCTCCTGCAGTGCTTATGAGCACTTCACAAATTCCAATTCAGGAAAATTTCCTGCTCTGATATAATCTTGCAGCGTCTCATGGAACTTTGCCAGGAAGTTTCACAGGTACTGACAGCAGAGAGGTTTGAATCGGAAATCTAGGATTTGGCTCCATTCAGCTCCAAATGGAAGTGCATGTGCTTCATGGTTGCAGGAAGCACTCGGATTACTTGCATTCCCTTGTTCAGGTTCCTGCAATCTGTTACAGTCCCTTTGCCACTCCAGTGGTAACCACACTGTCTGTAAGCAGCACCTTGCTAGATGTTTTTCCAGTGTCACGTTTCCCCATTGCAGCCCCTTTTCTCTCTTGCCCAGATTAGTGCCAAAGTTCAGTTTCAGCACCATTACCTTCCTAGCTGATTTCTCCATTACTGTTTTCTCAGTCAATCAGCTTTGTATCTTAGTGCAGCCTGTTGGTGTGTTCCTTCTGTGCCTGGTCTTACCAAAGGCCATTTGCCAGCAGCACCATCTGACCGGCTTCTTTTTGGTCTCATATACGATCGTGCTGCGCTGCCTCTGTTCACATGCTGGCTGTACCCTGGAGAATGGAGTCCTCTCTGAAGGCAGCAGAGGAGAAGCCAGGTGCTTGTTGTTTATAAGGAGTGTTTGACTTCGCTTGTAGATGTGGCCTGGAAAGAGCATGCTCAGTTACCAGTGGGAAGTGATAGGCGTGTCCTCTGGTCAGCTCAAAGTATGGTGGGAGATTTGAGTATCCAAGTTGGAGATACTAACTTATAAAATCTAAAGTCCAGAGACATACAAATCATATTCTGTCCTCAAGAACTGTGGTGTCCCTCATAGAAAAACCACCTGGAGGTTAAATTTTACATCTGTGGCTCAAGACGTGATGTAGCTATTGTTTTTAAAAAATGGGCGAAAAAAGTATCTGAACTGTGGTGTGGCTAAAACTTTGGGGAAAAAAAACTTGACTGAAGATGCATAGCATGGACCAATTTGGCTTGCCTCATCAAAAGTCACTGAGTTTATGCCAGGTAAATTTGCTTTTGCCTGGAAAATTTGCTAACATACAATAATTGGCAACACCAGCAAAAGACACACTTAAATGTGTTTGTCATGGATTTAAGTGAGAATTGTGTGTTACATGAGGAAAGCATTTGGTCCACAGATTGATAAGTTTTCTGTTGTAGCATGATAAACAAGATACTACAACGTAGTAATTTTCTGTGTGAAAAGTTAGAGGTTTTCTAGTGTATAACTTGAAAATTATGTTTTAAAGATGTTTGTATTAACTGATAATTCCTTATTTTATTTAAGTGTCTGAAGAAAACAAGAAACATGGAAGGTCATAAGTAGTAAGTACCTTGGTCATTTTTTCTTATTCTAAAGAGCTAATGGTCTTTGGCATGTTGATTTGTCACTGCCTGGGTCTATCACACATTATGTTCTGGCATCTAGTATTTATATGAAGTCACTGGTAGACATTCTGTTTAAAAAGAATAAAAATAAAAAATGAAAAAATGCCAAAGAATGGAAAAACAAGTGAATTGACTAGATAGAAAAATAGCATGATATCAATTTCCCACTTAATGGAAAGAAGTGTATGAATTGTCATATTTCAAGAGGATTATCCGTGGTCGTCAACTTCAGAATAAAGTACATCCTTCTTTTAGTTATATTTTCTGATTGGTTAACAAAACATAAATATGTCCATGATTGCTTGACACAAAATCCATTTTAAAAGGTATTGGCAAGTGTCTACCAGTAAAAACTGTCCACCAAATATTTTGGTGTTGTGATTATAAATCTTTCATTATCTTAAGCATACACAGGAGCCAGTAAATTCTCCAAATGAAATTAGAAGCTGAATTTGTCTGTAGTGGTAAAAGATTATATTCCTTTAATTGGTTTATCAGTCTCTAATTCAGGAATCTGTATTAATCCCAGCTTTTTTTTTTTTTTTCTTTTTTCTTTTGACCACATGTTAATAACTCATTTTTATTCCTTGCACCATGCCCCCAGAATTTCTAGTGACTTCAAGTGAGGTAGATATCAAGGCTGGTTGACATGAGATGAATTATGGTGTTTTCTTCATTTGACCACTGAACTGAGATATCGGTTATTTGCATAGCTGTAGCAGAAGTTAAAGCACACAACCAGCCAGGCAGCTAGGGTCTTTAAACTGCCTTGTGAACGGTTTGATTTTTTTTTTTAGTTACTATTTTTTGAAGTAATGCTATTTTTATTAAACTGTCATATTCTGTTTTCTTATAATGCAGGAGGATCTTCTTGTTATTTATTAGAGGTTGTAGATTTTGTATTTTAAAGGTGCAGCATATATCAGGTCAACATAGGCTTCACCTAACTTGATAGGTTACCTGTTGTCAGAGTGCATAATGATTTGGTTCTGCAGAATTCCACATTAAATGTCGTATGTTTTGCATGTGTTGTTTAGGGATGTGCAGTACCACCAAAAAGGCCCTTGTTTTAATTTTAATGAAATTCATAAGTGAAACTCTTGGAGCTAATGTTTGGGTAGAATTAAGTTGGTAAATATCTTTGCTTTTAAAGTTTGGGGAAGAAGCCAAGAAATGCTGTGTATAAGTGCATTTGGAATTTTGTTCTTGCTCACTTCCAGTTTAATTTCTTAACATCTCTTTGGTGATTAAGGCACTGTCTCCTAACTCACTGATTAAAAATAACTAAAGCAAGTAACAAATCCCTGTGAAACAAACTTCCGTTTCAGGTTAAACTGTGTCACTAGTAACCACGTAAGGCAGATGTGCCACCCTTTTGGGGAACATGTGTACCAATGGCTTGTTGTTTCAGAATGGCCATAGTATTTCACAGCAAGCATATATATATATGTCTGTGTGTGTGTGTCTCAATACATGACTTGATGTGTATGTTGGGTCTGAAGATGTCTTGGGGTAGCATCCCTGAGCTGCCTCTGTGTTGTGAACAGAGCTAGTGGGCAGCATCTCAGTAATGAACCACAGTTTGTCGCTCCACAGGCGGAGGGTATCTTTTTTCAAAACAAACTCAACCTCTTAAATTTTCCTGAAGTATTTAACGTAGCAAGTTTTAGCAACCTTTTACTTCAAAGATTTGCAAAATCACTGCAGCTTTTTATATGTGTACATAGGGGAAAAGGCATGTACTTTTGCAGAAATTAATAATGGAATAACACTTCCTGAAAGAGACCAAGATTTCATTTTAAGGCTATATTTTCTATTAAACCATCTTGGTATGGTTTAAATATTGTGAAATATGGAGTTTGTCTTCAGATTGCACTTTTTATTAGGTCTGCTACAGGATTGCAGAATCATCTGTCAGTAGAAAATAATCCTTGAAAAAAAGATTACCTGTTATGCACCCACAGTTGTCATGTAGTCTTTGCCTAAAGAAAGATGTGAGCTGTCTTTCACGTAGCATGCTCAAAATAGATGAGTGTTCTTCTAATTCTTTATTATTCAACTGTAAAAAAGGGAGGGCAAGTAGTCGTCTAATTCCATTCATAAAACGAACTTTGTGAAATCCTGACACTGCTGAAATGGCATGAAAATTGCTGCCTGCTTAAGCAACTCTAGTAGTTCGCTTGAAACTCTCCTATTAGTTGTATAAAACTAAAAATTTAATTCCAAGGGCTACGAATCATTCCATAATGCATTGGGAAGAATTCTTTGCAGCTGATTATTTGACAGTACTGCATGCTACAGACATTCAAATTGAAAGCAGTATATTATTTTCCAAAGTAGGATGGGAAATATAGGACTAATTTAATTGCTTTGTTATTAATGCATAATGAGGAAATACGTTAGAATATACGTGTCTGCATGCAAATGCAATATTCTTCATGGAAATGTATTAATCTAGCATGTTAGACTTATTTTTTAAGCATCCTATTGAAGTTTTATAATTTTGTTTCTTAATATTCTAGCAATTATCCAAGGGAATTTTATGATCAATATGCTCAAAGCCAAGAAAAATCTGTGGTCAATAAAATGCAACAGAAATACTGGAAAACAAAACAAACCCTTATAAAAGTTACAGGAAAAAAGGAAGATGAACATGTTGTGGCTTCAGATGCAGATCTGGATGCAAAACTGGAGGTTTGTAATGTTTACATAATGTGTATTCTCTGTTTGTTAATTTTTTAAATGTTTTCATTTCCATCAAGCCTCTCATATGTCTGCACATAGTACATAATAATGTATATACATTTTTATAATTATTTTCTTGTAATACCTTTTCTAATTTTTGATAAAAGTACCTATGTAAATACAGGGAATATAGTGGCAGTTATAAACCTCACGTCCCTGAAACGTTACTTGGAAGCTAACATCTCTTGTATTTATTTTCGGGTTTTGGGGGCAGGTTTTTTCTTTTTTGTTGGCAGGGGAGAGCAGGAGATCTTCCTTCGTGCTTATATCAGTCATTCTTATCCTTTGCTTGTATCAGTTTAATTTTTTTTTAAAATAGTATTCTATAGTATATACAAATGACATTCTTTATACGGTTACAAAATACTACATATACCAGAAAAACATGCAATATACCAAGAAGGAGCAAGGTGCGTCGTGCACTTTGCTTTCTGGAGCTTTTGTGCAGATAAGTGGGTTTTGACATGACCAAAGAAGCTTCTGAAAGTCTGTAAAGTGTAACCAAGAGAAGGAATTCTGCTGTGTTACAAATACAGTCCTACTTTCAGTATCCTCAACCCCACTGGAAAAAAAAAATATTAAGGCTCTACAAACTGAAGAGCTTGAACATCTTTGACACAAACCAAAAGATAGAGAATGGACTTCTGAAGTGTAATAATCAAGTTATTGTCCAGCTAAGTTTTATCAATATTGTTTTGTTACATAGGGTAAAGGTTTTTTCTTACTGGTTTTCTTGCAGTTTCTTAGAAAATTGTTGACTTGGTATTCTCAGTTTATTTGCATTTTAGCTGAAATGCAAGAGGCTGTTTTACAACAAAAAAAGTCTTTGTAGTTCTAACTGTAATAGGGATAACTTACAACATGATGATTCTAGCTATGGGGTCCTCATGATGGGTTATAAATCAAGAATATTGATGTAAAACAAGCTGGAAGGATGGAACAATATTTTATAAATATATACCTGAGTTCCTACCATGCTTACTGTGTTGCAGATTCATCATGAAGGATGCTTTGTTAGCTCAGGTGGGATTGGAAATAGGGAAACTTGTGTTTACCAGATAAAAAACTATAAGCATGTTTTCACTTGGACAACTTCTCAATTGCAAGTCATGCTCTCTGTTTAAAAGACAAGGAAGTCAAGCAGATGCAAAAGACGACGGTTACTGTGCCAGTAGTCCATTTTGTCTATGTTTGTGTAATGCTTGATACAGTGGAGTTTAGGTTTAAGTTACAGGTTGGAGGTTTTAGTTGGACAGATAGAAAAAGTAGTGATTTTTATGTTTCCTAGAAACAGTCTCCAAACTTAGTCAAGACTGACTTTTTTTCCCTTCTACTTCCTTTGGAAACGTCTGCTTTATAAATTTGTTCAGAAAACCGGAGCTATGCCATTAAAAAGTACAGTTTAAATCAATGCCTTTCTATGTTGGCATACCAATGCAAGTTTTTTCCACTAGACTTTGCAGTGTTAAAAATTCAGTATACATATTGCCACATGTGATAAATATGTTAGTTTGATAACTTTTTGCTCTACTGTGAGGTTTTTAGAAACAAAGATTTGTACATTTTCATATGTATCCAAAGATATCAATTAAAAAAAAAACAACACGAGTAGTTTGGTTAACTGTCAGCTGTTTAGAATAGATCTGTTTCCAAAATTATTTTTGTCTTTATTTTCCTTTTGTAAGTTATGATTGATCTGTCTGTAGTTTCAGTGGACAACTTAATTGAAAGAAAAGCACAATTGATAAGGAAAAATTACTTCAAGCTGGAAAGATTACTCATTGTTCAAGAAGAAAATAGTGATGCCGAATAAATGCTACAAAAAAAAAAAAAGCTCGCTCTTGTATTTTAATCGTCAGTGCTTCTTGCATATGCTTACAATTTTTTTGTGTGTATTTTGTTTCAATATCAGCTGTTCCATTCTATTCAGAGAACGTGTATGGAGTTGCTGAAAGCAATTGAACTGTATCAAAAAAGGATTTGTTGTAAGTATGATCAAATACAGTAGTTAAAATGATAAAGAGGTCTGCATTATAGAATCAATCAAACAAGTGAAAAAGTAAAAATGAAAATGGGGAGCTACTAGTTTCATCCTATTTAAAAATAAAGATGACATTCCTTGTAGACAGCTGAAGGCAGATTTGCTTATTTGCTTGAAGATCTCCTGGTTCTTAAGTTTTCTATTTGATATTATGCAGTGCTAGGTAGCAATAATTATGGGAGAAAGCTTGCTTTTTAAGGTTTTTTTTCCATTACTTGTTTGGCTTATTTAAATTCAGAAGTGTCTTGTCTTAGAAATCCTAACTCGGTTCTGAACTGGTTTAATTTTTTTTTAATCAGGATTGACTGAAGAATATTGGGTTTATTTCTAGTTTTATAATTGAGTAATCCATGCTATTACGATGAATTTGATAATGCTGACTTGGCTGTAACAGGTGTACAGTAATTAGTGGCATTCATTAGTGAGAGACAGGGACCTCGTTTGGGAAGTTTCAAACAGCAGGTTGTATTAAATGACCGATAAAGGTTCTTTGCAATCAATATTGTTTGATTCCCCGCTGCTGTGATTTCTGGCCTGGAAAAGAGAATCCAGCTTTGGAGACATATTTCAAATTACTTTCTTTTGTTGGATGTTATCCATATTTTTTCCAGTCTGTCTTTTTTCTTTTGTATGCCCAAAGAGAGTCAGAGATAATGTTTCAGGATCTGGAGGTAAAATTAGAATACAGAATAGTAGTGTATTGAGTTCAAGAGGTGTTCCACAGTAGCAGGTGAAATCTCTGAAGCAAAGATGTGCATGCAGCATGTTCTACCAGAGTATGCTACAAGTCTGCATTGGATTTGACTATCAACATTTGGAAAAATGACAAGAGGACTTCAAGAGATCTTCTTTCATTATGTTAGGCCATTCTCCCTATTGGTGTTGGGAAGAAATTGGTACTATAGGAGACAGCAGCTTTGGAAGACTCATAGATGAGGCCATAATGAAATGTTTTTGTAAGGATGTGAGATCATGAAGACTATGTGGTCTCGGTTTGGAAGTAGTCAACAAGTCAGCATAAAAACACTTTTATTTTTCTTCACCTTCTTGTTTAAAAAACAATCAGTTAATTTGAAATAGGAATATGTCAGATATTTGAAATATAAATTTAAAAATAGTGTTTGAATTGTGTAGAATGTTAAAGTTGCAAAATAATCATGCAAAGTAATTTGAAAATAAATGTTCTTTAGAATGAATTACTAGATTTTTCATGTGAAAAAAATCATTTCTGTGGCCAAGCATGAAAAATGGAGAGCAAGAGAAGAGCAAGTGAATGAGCTTTGGGTGGTGGTATAACTCAGAATTAGCTGAGTTTGGTATGCTACCAAAGATCAACTGAGGCAGGCCAGGTGGTAAAAAAGGATTTAAAAAAAGAAAAAAAAAAAAAAAGAAAAAGAAAAAAAAAACCCAAAACCCTCAAGACTAAAAGATACTATAATCAAAATTGGGCCCTTTGTGTAATCTAACCAACCTAATTCTTTCGTTCAAGAAAGAACTAACATGTTTCTCCTGTTGTCTTTCAGCACTGATGGAATTTTGTGGTTCTTGTTAAGTATAACAACAAATGTCTCAATCAGATCTTCTGTTTAATAAATGCAGGAATTCCATGAAATATTTTATTCTGCCTGTGCTGCTTGGATTTAGAGTATCTTAACCTATTTGATGTTAGGTCAGTTTTAAAGCTATTGGGAACCTATTAAATAACGTGTTTGACCACTCATTTATTTTTCGTTAGTTCTGTCTCAGGAAGAAAATGAATTGGGGAAATTTCTTCGATCACAGGGTTCTCAGGATAAAACGAGAGCAGGAAAAATGATGCAAGCCACAGGAAAGGCCCTCTGCTTTTCTTCTCAGCAAAGGTATATGTGTCAGAATTACTGCCTGATTTACAAAGTATGTGGGATAATGGTAGTTGATTCACCGTTGGCATAATTCATTTTGCCATTTGAAATGTGTGAGAAACCAAATGATAGGAAAGTTGTTATTGACCAGACCTGTTGTAGTATTGGCAATATTACTGGCTTGCTTTGCGTAGTTTTGCCTGATCCTGTTTTTTCTCTTATGGGCTTGCTATGTCTGTGTATCACCAGATCCCCCTCCTGCACGTGTTCAGCTCAGCAGTTCTAAAGCTGTACAGGTGCATCTACACAGCCTCTCTAGCAGAGGAGTTGTAAAGGAGCTGATGGCAGGTCCCTCTCCTGCTTGGTGGCACTTCTCACTCTGCAGAAAAATGCTACAGCAGACTCATTGTGGAGGTGTCTGGGTCCTGGGAGGGCAGGGAAATGGGTAAAGGAATGCGATTTTCTGGGCCATGGAGTCTCATACCTGAAGTAGGTGGAGGAGAAAGGAGGCTTCTGAATGGCTTTTTCTGCTTTAACCTCGCACCATGAAGTCCCCGAGGAGAAGATCCTAGATCCCCACTGAGCTCATGTAGGTTGGGTAGGACCAAATCACTAAATGGCAGGAATCCAGAGGGGCACACACTGACGTAAACACGTGCTGTTACCCAGAGCCCTTGATGTCTCCCTGACCCTGTGTTTGCTCAAAGAGTTTAAAAGTAACAGTATTATGGCATTATCAGTATTGTGATGCTTTTTCTTAACAGTATTGGAACTATGAAAGTTTGAAATTCACCATCATTTGCAAGGGAAAATTCTATTCCATATGTTACAGGACTTTTTGGGGCTCTTAACTATTGTGATACTTTCCAGCTTTAGCTTAAAAGTGCAGCTGTTTGGCTCAAAATAAAACATAGCATACAGAGCACTGAGAATTTCATATGTTTATCTTGGGCTAGAGTTTGGTCATTGGCACATCCAGTGACAGCCGTGAGTGGGATCTTTAAAACACATGCAAGGCAGCTTTGAGCAAAAGCCCTGATGATTTGCTTCTTTATAAAGCTTAACTGTTTATAGAAATCCCAGTGTATGACATGTCTACATAAACTGAATTTTCCTTTGAATGGCTGGGTCAGTATTTGTAGAATGAGGAAAAAATGGGGGGGGGAACACTAAAAAGTTAACATTTTATTATATCTCTTACTCAATGCATTTTTAAGGCATCTTTTTAAATAAACTCACATAAAAATAAAACCAATTGTTTGTCTTCTCTTGAGCCATCCTCAAGCTCATGTTGAAGTTGGGACTGTTCTTATTTATGTTGCATGCCAATAGCTAGCTCAGTAGCTGTATATCAGGAAGACACAATTTGCTGGTTACCGGAGCTGAAATCAGAAGTTCTCTTATGCCTAGGAAGTCCCTAAGTAGCACATTAAACTAACTCTACACTGGTGTGGAACTGATTGAACCCATTTTAGTGAGGTGACTGCTGGCAACCAAGAGGAAAAGAGAAGCAGCAGGAGGAAGCAAAGCAAAAGTTGGAGTAATCCTGTCCAGTTCTGAGATCCCATTAGGAGCCAAAGTGATGGCATAGGGAAGACAACAGTGTCCCCTACTGCCTTTCCAAAGTGTAGTTGCTGGAACAAACATTTAAGAAAATGCCTAAATCCTTCCAAAATATAAATGTCTTTCAAAGGAATTGTTCAGATTCCTTAAGGAAAACAAAAAAAAAAGGAAAAAAAAATCAGATATAATTATCTACTTGACAGATGACTTCTTTATTTACATGTACATTTCAAGATTAAAAGGTTAATGGAAGTGCTTTTTCTGAGGCTTAACATGACAATCCTGATACATCTGTGGTATGTATCCTGTAATAAATTACCTCAGGTACATTTTTAGAGTTGTTAAATGCAACTTGTGAGGAGGAATGTTAATAGCATACAGACAAGCAGCTTGGCTAACTACATACTATATACACATTAGAAAAGGTTCCTTTTCCACTCACATGTGTAAGTGAAAGGTCACTACTTGAATAGGAAGGTTGCAAACACAATACTCATGCAAAATTACTCTGTTCATGTGTACCCCCAACCAAGCTGTAGAACCATCTGAAAATACACTAGCCTTAAGTGAACTATTTTGGCTCTGTATGTTTTTTTGATTGCTTGTAAAGTGTCAGTAGTTGTATTAATCCATATGCCTTTGTGGAACAAGTTCTTTAACATGTTCCTCTCGTTCCTTTCTTTCCTTCATGCCTTCTCCCAGATTAGCACTGCGTACTCCTTTGAGTAGATTGTATCAGGAAGTGGAGACTTTCAGATACAGAGCCATCTCGGACACATGGCTGACAGTAAACCGAATGGAACAGTATCGGACTGAATACAGAGGAGCTCTACTTTGGATGAAAGATGTGTCTCAGGAGCTGGATCCAGATCTCTATAAGCAGATGGAAAAGTTCAGGAAGGTATGAAGTTTCCTGTAGTTTCCTAGAAGGGGATGGCTGATGAATGACAATGAAGCATGGGTTTGATTCTTCTGAGGAAGACATAATTCAGCAGCACTAAGGATGCCATTTATCGTAACTAATCTTTTCCGTGTGACAGAACTCCAATTAATGTGATAGGGAATACAGTGTCCTTTACAGAGTGGGCTGTAAGGAAAGATATGGTAGTAAGAAACAGCATTTTTCAGTAGTCTATTCAACTTCAGCCCAAATCTTTATCATTTAAATAACATATATTTTTAAAGATGGTAATCTGATTTTAGATACTTAGCTGTGATGCCTGAATGACTAATGGAAGAAGATAAGTCTGCTGTCAGCTGGGCAAGGGAAAACTGATTTTTGCAGCTAAAAAGTACAGAATAACAGAAATGCTGTAATATCTGCTGCTAAATTTTTGGGTGCAGTTAAAGACCAACATTTTCAAAATTGGCTATTGTTGGATTTTGGGGAGGAGTTGCAAATTTGGAATATGTTTTTAAGTTCCTCGTGCAGTTCAGCATGACTTTTGGGCAACTGCTAAACACTAAAGCTGCTAAGAATGCACTCTCCATATTTATGGTCTTCATTCAGTGTCACTCAAGTTTGCTATACTACTCCCCTCCCAAAGGGCTTCCAAAAGTCACAAGTCCTAGGTGGTAGTCTGCAGATTTGCTACCAGGTGCAAGTATAGAATTTATTTGGACTGATCCTGTCCCAGTTGGTTCAGGAATGCTCATGAGAACCTCACATTTGCTAGTGAGGCTCTAGAGCCAATTTTGTTAAAAAACTACAATGTTCATAATTTGCTGTTTATAAATTTAGAGAGGTTAGGATCCTAGGTGTAACATGGTGGCTTGTGCTTTGACTAAAGGCAGTAAAAAAAATTTACAGAAATTGTGTGATAAATGAAAGCAGAGGCCTAATAACAGAAATTGTATTAAAGTGTGCATGCATATATGCATGTGGGTGCGGCTTAGAGACAGGGAGTGTACAAAAGAGAATCCCTGTTCATTGATGGCTTGAGCAGTCTGTGACTGAAAGTGTTTGGAGATGAAAGATACTTAATTTGGGATTTTAAAAGCTTGAATAAACTGTCCTAACGGGAAAGGACTGGCATGCATCTAGGCTATGCCAATTTTTGTAAACTGAAGTGGTGACAATAGCAATTAAGGAAGGGGTGGAACAAATGAAACCCCAGCTAGTCATCTAATCTTTATTTAATGCTTCAGTACAGGATATTCCTGTAAGTCTTGTGGCACCAGACATGTATTTTATTATGCCTTGTGGGAAATGTTTATAATGGCAAGTTCTTGCAGGTAAAATAATTGGTATGGTCTTGGCCTCAGCCAGTTGCTTATGTATAATGTTTGATTTATTAGAAAAACACTTAAAAATGGAATGTTAGAATGAATAAAGCAGTACTGCTAATGGTCATACAAAATTGATTTATAGCTTTCTTGCAAAACAAATGCTATGGAAGGTATAAATTATATAAATGGCAAAGTAATTAAAATAATGTATGCTTTGTACGGTGAGCTGCTGTAGTTAAAAAGTTAGATGTGAAATTTCAGCCATCAGGTTGCTGTGCTTCAAGGTCAGCAAAAATATGTTGGGGTTTTTTTTCAATCTCTCACAAAACTTAGTAGTAAAAATGTGGAAATACTAAGTATTTTGAAATATTTCCAGGTCTGAAATGAGTTATATTCTGACATAAAGAAATAATGAATGTAGATTCTAAAATTCTGTAGCATTACCTCAAATAGTTTGAAAAAGAAAGAATTGGAGAAGGTCTTTTGAACCTACCTTTCTTTCTGCCGACTAGCTGTCAACTGAAAACCTTTCAGATCACATTGCAATGTAGAGAACAAAAAGCTCTATATTTTGTAGCCGACAAAGTAGAGAAATGCCCTTGGTATCCACTTCCCTACATATCCCATCTGTGCAACAGGCATATCAAACTAGTCTTTGAAGATTTTAACACTTGCAGAAAGTAAACTTTTTCTTCTTTCATTTTGGAAAAAAACCCCAACATTACAAAAATAAAATCCTCAAGCATAATGTACCTAGATAGCTGTTGCTGAACAAGACACAACAGTTTGTTTTTAGTGCTTTACAAATGTAGTAGGCAAACAAAACTAATGGTGGATACTGTAGTCCTAAATAATTAAAGTAGTGGAGTTATTTTTATTGTCTTTTTGTTCTATTCTTGCTTGCAGATCTTAATTGTGCCATAGTGTGGCAGTGTAATGCTGGGTTTTTAGGGCTTATTTTGGATCTGTAACAACAATTTAAGAAGTCATGCTAGTTTTGTGTTGAGAAAGATACCATAATTACTGATGTAAAGTTTTTGGTTCTAAAATATACCATCACCAGAGAGAAGTGTTTGATCTGGAACTGCATATCTAGTGATACACCAGCAAGTAGTTAATGAAGGTGATCCTGTCAGAGCACTTGAAAGAAAGTTTTCTTCAGACTTCTAATTGTAAAAATCCTAAGTATTACTTTAGTAAACATTTTTTTTTTAATTTCAAGTACACAGTGCTGGTTTAATGATCTTTAATGCACCTAGTGCATCAGCAGGATTTATATCACTTGGTTATAGGACTGTTTTTCAGTAGCCTTTTATAATGTAATCCTAAATGTATCATTATGTATACAGATACGGTACTTGTTTTTGGAGACCAAAGCTAAATCAGTCCAGATGGGTTTTTCATACATTCCCTCAGAATAGCTCAGGCTAAAAGATCAATAGTTGAGTCAGTAGTTTCAGAACTGATAAAATCTTGAGTTAAAACATTGGCATTTTTGTAGCTCTCTTTCAAAACAATGAGGTACTTGAAAGAATTATTCTAATGCTGTTCTCAAGGTATCAGGCTAAATATGCGAGACCCAGCAATACTATCCCTTTGAAGGTGTCCCAGAACACTGCAGAACAGCCTTTTTACATTGTTATTTGAAGATATCCATGTGATTGTAGCTACTTGAGTCAAACCAAAGAAGCAGGTGAAGTATTTACTTTTGCCTGCAGAGTTCTATAAATGCTATGTACCTTCACTCTTATTTTTCTATTAACAGTTTTTATGGATACTCCAAAAAAGGTCTTCCATAGAGGTCTTCCAACCCAAGTTCAGAGTTTGAGGTGTTGCTTGAGAGAATCTAAACAGCGTCTTGGCAATGCTGTGATATTTAAAATAATTTGAATAAGTTAATTCCCCTTTACCCAATTCTCCACCATGGATCAGGTTTTTAAGGTTCTTATACCCAGGCTGTTTTATCTGTCTGGTGCCTGTACACTATAGCATGAGCTCTGCCATGATGTTGTAAAAATATAGACCAAACTGCCCAAGTGCTGATAGTCCACCAGTGTCCTTCCTCCAGCTCTGAAAAAGTTAAGCTTTTCCATGCATCTCCTGAGAAGGAGCATGCCAGTGTGCAGAGTGATAGGCTATGCTACCAGGCAATAGCCTCACATGTGCAGCCTACAGGAACACAGAAGAGGCTCTGCTGTTCAATTTTACTTAGCTAAGCTATCTCTGCTTATCCAGTGCAATATAGATTTTCTCATCAAACCTAGACATTACAGTGCCATCCATAACAAGTAAAAAGTGAGAGCTGAAAAAATTATCATGCTGACCTTTAGGCGAACTATAAGAAAAATTACATCTGTGACATGGCAGGATATATATCATGCTACATTGATAGAGCAATTTAATCCTTTCTTTATTTGTTTTGTGCTTCCATCATTCTTCTACTCATCTGCTTCCTCTTCATTCTAAGGCTTGAACCAGAGCTGGAGTAGCTTTGTAAATACCCACTGGCCGTACTAGCATCCCTGAGACAAGCCACGCTGCAGCAGTGTACTGAGAACTGGGTACCTGGAGGGTTGAGCTGTGTTTGTCTCTGTTGTCTAGTCCTCTCTGCTTTGCCAAAGCTGCTTTCCTAGGAGCTCTGCTTCTGTGTGAACCAAACGAAGCTCAGATGGGAGAAAGAATAGGTTGAAGCTGTGTAAGGGTAAGGAGTGATGCATGGGCTGGTTGCAGCAGAGCTTTGTAAATGCTATGAGATTCATCTGCTTGGAATACAGTTCAAGTCCTGTATCTATCTCTGTGGTACTTGGATATACAGCAATAAGTATCTGAATTTGTAAAACAGTACGTATTAGATGGGGTACTGTCTAGAAAAAGAGTTGGGTTTTGATCAATGTATTTGGATGGGATCTGTGGGGGGAACACGTAGCATGGTTTGTGCTGGGCCTCCTTGTTCTGGAAGATTAGAAAGGCCCTACCCCACAGTGCATAGCCCTGAACTATTTCAGTGGTGTTAAACAAGTGGAATAGATCCTACCATGGATAAGAATTGTCAGAATATTCCCCAGAAGATCCTAAACAGTTATAGCACCCTCAGTGCCTAGCTGTTACTTTGCATGCAGCTGTCGAGAAACTTGCAAGCTTGCAGCTGAGTTCACACAGTTTATCTCAAGTTCTTCCTAGCTGTAGCACTCTATATACTTGAAAGAAAATTAATGCCTTTAAATGGCATTTTAAAGATAAATCTGGCAAGAGAAAAGGAAAGGCAGTGAGAAAAAGGAAAGTTCAACAAGAACTTGTAATGATATAACAATAGCTTAAACTGTTGTTTTTATAAATGTACTAATGTAAGGAGTGGCTGATCTATGCAAGTTCTCTGTTAAATGTCTTTTAAGAAATAAAAGTTAAAGCTTGTGTGGACAGCTGGGGAATAATGAAGATCTAAATAAGTCCATTGATTAAAAGGTCAGAAGGCAACCGCTGAAGTATATGTATTCATAGTAAAGATCTTGGCAAGTCTGAATAAGATACATCTGCTGCAGCCTTACAGGGAAGGCTCAGGGCCTACATCTCTGTTCGCCCGCTCTCCCCTTGCCTACTAGCACTGCCTGGTATGAGTGCATTTCGGCTTGTATGATGATGAAGGGCCTGTACCATGTTACAGCATCATCTGCTACTCAC